TGTCTTCAGTCGGGAGGGGGGGGGGTCAATTTCACTAGCCCCTAATCGTTGTAGATGGCTATTGCAGCACCCTCAGCCAGCGACTCCAGCATCCAGGATCCCGTGTTAACGCCTAGGCTTCAGCAGAGCAAAAACCTTAGTCTTGAGCAGAACCCACCCAGACTCTTGGCCTAGGTTGTTCTTGGCCGCTGTCAAGGTCTTTGACCTATCGGTTGAGCAAATAGTAACTGTGGAAGCATTCGCAAAACGTGCCCAAACCACTGCAGCTGTACCTTCTAAGTCTGGGAAAGTAGCGGCTGTGCACTGAGACTCACTCGAGTATCTGAACTCCCGACTGCAGACACGTCAGCCCAGAGGTTTGCCTCACAGAGCCCATTTCATCTGGCTGCATCCAGGATCAAAGACTTTCAATCATGACTCATGACTATGGGTGAAAATCGATTTGAACACAGACAACTTAGTCCTCATACTCAATTCTGCCTCAATCACAAGGGATCGGGCAAGTTCGTGCAGAACGAGTTCATAGTCGATCTCTTCCTCCCATTTGCCATCGCCAGCAAATATGAATCTGAAACCCGTGAACTTCTCCACTTATTGCACTGCTCCTCCGTTTATCCGCAGAGTACAGTTGATGGGGGAAGACGAACTTACAACGGCTTTGGTTTTAGACGTTCGTCACACTCCTCTCAGAATTTTTACTGAACCAGCTGGAAGCCATACTCAAAAGATGTGAAATCGTTTGCAAACAGCAAACTGCTGGTTTGGAAATTTCCCCCTCTGACACACTCGACAAGAGTGTTTTCGAGCACAAATTAAAAGTACCACTTTCCATAGCCAAATAAAAAACATAATATATCCGGATATTGTGCAAAGGCTGCCATAAATGTAACGCTCCAAGTCACTCCATCAGAATAATATAATATTTCAATTCTCACCGTCGCATATACTCAGTGCATTCACCCTTGCTTATTCACCGTGGTTTCGTGCTCATGTCATAAGTTTGGATTAATTTGGAAACTAATTTGTGGAGGCTAATCTGTTCAGAAGATGGATTCGACTAAAACGCGGACGGAAGAATTTTCTCCTGCTTTTTGCGTTTCTTTAAAACAAACCATGATCCGTGTTGTGCTGGATGCCCTACAAACAAGGAACAGCACCTACTCAGCTGAATACCCTGTGTATCGGTTTGGCAGGTAGCCCTGAACATCAGAGCTGTTGGCCGTGTAAATTCTATCTGTACTATCTGATTGATTTTGTGAAATGATTCTGTTTTTTCAGCTTTAAATTATCTTTTGCAGTTTCGTTTCGTTGCTACCTCGTTCGCTTACCAACTAATGAATGGTGCATGGTCATATTGGTAACGAAGACTCGTAAGGCATCACTCGAGCAATGGGTGAGAGCCACGTTGCGTTGCCGGGAGGTTTAAACTCGATCAATGGCATGGTTTGAAACGCGCTGACGACTGCTCGTTTTAAACTCGTTCACGTGACATCATGTTAGTGTAATCTCGCTGTCTCAGGTAAAAGCTGCGTTAGGGCTGCGATATTTATTTCTACGTTTGCCTCGTCACCGTACAAGTGGCGTCATATTCTTATCATTTGATTGAACAATTAAAGACTAAGGTAAGTTCCGAGTTGATTTCATCTTTCGTCTCTGATAATTTTAATGGCAAATGCGACTTATGCGTATCGATGATAGAAAGTTACTTGTTTGTTTGCTGGATGAGTACCAATTCATCGAGACGGCCTCGTTTTTTTTTCTTGTTTTGTTTGATCATGTGTTTGGCGAATGCAGATGACTTCATTTATGTATATACTCAATTATGCATATTTACGTACATAATTTTACTGCAATTATTTAACTATTTCGGGTTAAGTAGAATTGCGATGCCGATGATGTCCAGGTAATTCTGTTCATCTGAACAATAAACGCCACTTTTAGCATGTTTGTTTCATGGAATCTCTGCCACGTGCTCTTAGACATAATTGTCCCTTCTACGGAAGCTGTGGACAATAGCCCTTTATGCCCCATGCTTCTTTTAACAAAGTGATGCTTCCTTGTCGAAAGGACAAAGAATGAAGAAGCTGGCACAGCTAGGATGTCGGCACACCTGCACTGTAGCTGATATCTCCCAAATCTTTATCCGACCTAACGGATCAGAGAAATTAAACATTTTTTAGGGATTTGTTAGGGATATACAGAAAAATGCACGTCCACTTACAAGTACCCCAAGATGAAGAGTACTTTACCGGCAAAAGAGGAAATGAATGAGAGATTGAGTAAGGCGAGTTCCAGTTATGGAATTCCACATGCATCGGCTTCAAGCAAGTGATCACCGTTCCGAAGAAAGATGAAAGAAAACCGACCGTGTTAAAATCTTGAGTTGCAGCGCAACTCCAATAGCAGGGCTGCATACCCTTCTGGTGGATGTCAGTACGGTATTTGCTGAGTCGATCAGCAGCACGACTGTCCGTTAAGCTGTGTCACCTACGGACGGCCAGTCGCTCGTTGAAATGAGGAAAGACGTTCTGCCGCTAAAATAATCCGCCAAGAGGTGGAACAGTCAACGAGACAGCACCTCGCTCTGAGAACCTCACTGGCGGTATGGAAGCGATCAAATAGTGACCCTTCAGCTCAAATGGTGCTTTTCAACTGAACTTCCATCAAGTTTACCATAAATTTTTCTATTCCGTAGTGCCAACAAGACAACAAAGTTCGTCCTTAACCTTTGCCTTATGAAACTCTTGAATTGGAAGACCTACAACTTTATGGCAAGGAACAATTTAGATTACTTCTACGTACCCTTTTGATTCCTGCAGATTTTGGTTGTTTTATTTGAAAACGTTCTACATTATCCGGTTTGTTCCGCATAACAGTCGCAAGTACAGATACATCGAAAATTGGAAAGTAGACAGAAGGGAGTTATTGCCAAAGTATAAGAACGATTAAATATAATAATGATAAGAAATATTAATAATAATAATCTACCGACTGTGATGTGAAAAGCAGGTTGCGGGTCTCGAAAACGTTTTGGATTTCTTGCTTTTCTTGGGATTATTGAAGTTTGTTTGTAGGAGAGTCTGAATTGACAGCGATTCAAAAATATTCTGCCTCCATTCAATCTCCCAAAGAAATGGAATTCTGCCTGTCAACGCCCGGCCATTATCAAACGGTACACGGTATTAACACTGTTTATAAAACCTCAAGATATCACCATAAAACCTCGTTTTCACTGCAGCAAAATACGAGTGAGTCATATTTGAGCCCAGTTTATCGACAACGTAAGCTGACACATTATTGCAGCCAATGTCAGACAGTGTTTAGCTGCCGGTCGGAACTGAAGGTGAGAAGAAAATTTTACATAACCCCATTAAACATGTGCTTAGGAACACGAGAATACTCATACGGGCGTGAAACCTTTTCAATGTAAGGTCTGCCTGATGAGTTTCAGCAGGCGTTCGACCCTGTGGAACCATCGTCGCAAGCACTCTGACAAAAAGCCGTTTTCTTGCTCAACATGCGGGAGGGCTTTCAGATGGAAAAACAGCCTAAAGGCTCACATTGAGCGCCATCGACTAGACGGAGAAAAGACCTTTTCATCTGATCTCGAAGTACGTCTAACAAAACTGCGATGGTTTGTTGCTTTAAAACTGTAATTAACGAAGTTTAGAAACTCTGTCATGTGAGGTAAATATAAACCTCAAATCCCTCTGCAGGAAAGTCATCCGTCCTGGCAAATGCGTTCCCTCATATGTCATGATATGACATCATTTAACAATCTGTTGTTAACTCTTCTGATTTTTGCGACGCAATCACACAGTCTCCTTACTTCTCTTAGTTCAGGGGGCCATTTATGCAGACCGGGTCCTTGATATTTCAACACTTTCACTACATGGGTAAAAATCCGCATCACTTCATTGGGTTGAAAATACACCCATTAGAATACCAAAGCGTATACCTCAATCCGTAGGTCTGTAAGATAAAAATTAACCCTAGTTTTACGGGTTTGCTGGGAAATAACTAGTTTCCCATATAACCTATGAAATTAACACTCTTATCATTTCTCCGGATTCACACGTGTAGTCGCATTGTGCTCTTGCCTACAGTGGTGGAGGACCGTTTAAGGAAGCCACGGTTCAATGGCATTTTGGCCGTACCTTTATTTTTACACCTGCAGTAGAAACACGTGAAACGTCATCAGACGGTCGTATTGTCTGATGTGGGTGTTTCTTGTGGGACTCATTTCATTTTTGACCCGCCTGATAGCTGAATGGTCAGTGTATTAATCAGCACAGTATGTCGAAACTGCAATTATTACTAATTATTACAGAATATATCTTGTTTCTATCGCTACTTTCATCAGATTTCAGGCGTTTCGGAAAGCTGTTAAACGCTGATATTAATTTCATCTCTTTGAGTGTTGATTAAAAAGTTTATTTAATAGAGAACGTACGGTTCCTCGACGCTGATTTAAACATGATATAAAGAAAGGTCATTTCGGCTAAGCGACTGTGTTTTTCTGCAATTGCTCATCGCTCACCTCTTTTCCCTATTTCTTTTCAGAAAACTTATACTGGAAGAATTTCTAAGAACTGTCGCTCATTGCGATCACGAAGCATTATATTTCAGACAAACAACATACAGGTATATTTGACGCTATTGTCCTATGTTCATATAGTTGGATTATGAAATTTAGGGGAAAAATCTACCACAACACTATGAGTTTGCTGGAGGAAATGCTTGTAAATTTGAAATTATGAAATGCCATTGATCTTGTTAATAATTTGTAAATTTAAGGCCTGCTTCAAAATGTCAATTGCTTAGATATTAATTATCAGAAAGCAGATTGTAGTGCTCCGTTAGGTTTCGGCGGTAATATGTTTCAGACGGCGCCAGACACAAGTTTATGCAAAACTGCTACAAATTATGAACGCGGTCGTAATTTTGCAGCAGGTAAGATATATGCAATAACCAGTCTCTCATAAAATGATCGTTTTTTGCAGCTTCCAGTCTAGCCTCAGCTCCCTCAAACCTCTTAAGACGGAATTCACACATAATGGCTAACTTTAAAATAGTCGGCGAGCTCGCACTTGCCAACAAAGAGCTTGGAAGATCGGTTTGCTCTGCACGTCTCTACTGCAACAGCGGTGTGAGAAACCAACGCTTGTTAGCCATAGCGCTTCGTCGACGACAGCACGGGTAAACTTTGATTAAACTCTAATTGTATTTTAATCTGTGCATCATGAATTAATGTTGAATTTTTTTCTTGATCATGCATATGAGATTATTATGCTACCAAATATAATCCTACGTGGTTCAATTTTGGACCTTTTCTTTCTAAATTCCCTAAGTAAAATATTAAGACCTTATTAGTAATAAACTCGACGTAAAACGTTTTAGCGTCTAACCAAGTTCTAAGCTAGTATAACCAATCTTTATCAATCGAAGACGATATACAGCAGTACGGATAGAATAGACTGCCCTGATATCATCAGAACTGTTTCCTTTTCCTGCCTGTAAGCAGTATACATAAGTTGGTCATGGCGGAGAGATGTGAGCACCCTCATCTCTGCTCAAGACAGGGCCTGTTTCTATGCGAGGGTATGATACCTCTCCATGGTTGTGCAAGCTAATAGTTACCTTAATACCATGTTTATTTATAGATATCCGAATTGCAAGGAAGAGCCACTGCCATTATGACTACTAGGTAGTACAATCCAACTAAAAAGATAAAAAGCAGCCTCCGTTAATCCGGGTCTAATAAACGCCATATTTTCGAATGTGTCTTTGCTGGATGTCACGTATATATATAATACGCATAACGTGGTGTATTCGACCCGTTCTTCCGCCAGCAGCGGCATGAAGCCTTGAACAGCATTGTCGACGATGTCGACTATCTTTCGTTTTTTTTGCTTCGTCTGTTGCATTTAATTTCTTGACAAAATTATTTTTTATTGTTTCATTTCAACACTTGCGTGCGACATTGAAAATTTTCGTATACCAGGCTCAACAATCGTCCTTATGCAAAGGAACGTCGAAAAGTCATTACGGCCGTGAACCATTGTTTGGAAGCAAACGTTGTATCATGTTTCGGGTGCTGGATTCCAGCGATTTGTTTTAGATGCAATATAAATATCACCATAGCATGTTTAATAAATCTATTATTTATTATCCAAGCATTTTT